AGAAAGAAAGAAAGAAAGAAAGAAAGAAAGAAAGAAAGAAAGAAAAAAAAGAAAGGAAAAAAAAGAAAGAAAAAAAAGAAAGAAAGAAAAAAAATTTCTCAAGGGAGTGTTTAAATACTTTTGAAGAGATTCTTTCCCGTGAGAAGACAAATTCTGGAAGAGCAGCTCTGTGTGTTGTTAACTTCCTGTGGAAGGAAACCCGGTCAGTAGATAAATACAAGAAACCCTACATCAGTAGATAAGTATTTCCTCAGCTCTGCAAAAGCAATCAGTCCACTGTAGTTTGAGGTTCATAAAAAGGATCCTTAAAGTTACCCTTCAGTTTTTCTTCAAATTCCTTGAGGTATGTACGTCTCTTTGTACATTTAGCTGCATGGCACAGGGAAATCAGATTTTTGATCATTTGTAGCTCTTAAGAACTTGGCATTTGATTAAAATTCAGATGTGTTTCATTCTAACTTAGTAAGGACGGTTTTCTTTCTGTTCCTGCAGTTTAAAGAACTCCACTGCCTAACATGCTTTCCTGGGAAAGAATTCGTCTGGTTTTACTGACTGGGTTGTCTTTCTACAGCCAAGTAAGTGTGTGTTTTTTTCAGGAACTGTTTAAAACCAGAGATTTCCATAAAATCCTTTCACCATGTAATCATTTATTTTTAAGGTTAATCTCAGTACTTCAAAACTGCTGAATGCATCCTCTGCTGTTATTGATGATCTCTATAATGGATGCCGTGAAGAAGCCATGAAGAAGTTTAATCCTGACGTTTTACAACAAGAGCTTGGCAAAAGTGAAAAACTGCAGGAAGCTTGGAACAAATGGGAGAAAGAGAAAACAAAACTAAATTGTTCATCAAAGATCCCTGGAGGAAATAAAGAGCACACCTCTGCCCTGTCCGTCTTCTACTACTACAGGGGTACAAACTTTATTAAGGAGCTGAATAATGCAGTGGAGATGATGATGACAAATATTACCACATATGAAAATGACTTTCATTTCAAGGCCCTTCATTTCCTACTGATGGATTCCATGAAGTTGTTGAAGCCAAAGGAATGCAAGGAGGTATATTTAGTCCAGGAGGAGCAAATAAAACAAGAACCAAGCTCAAGTGTAAGGTTTGCAAGTTTCATCGTTGCTGAAACAGACTTGGAATTGATTGATTATGTAGACCAAGTTGTTCTTAAAATAAAAACTTGCTTCTACGTCGACCTGGGGGACCAGCTTTGTCAGAGATATCTTGGTAAAATACTCCTATCTCCGGCTGAAGTCTTCACCATAGAGACCGTAGCTGAAAAGGAGAACAGTGATGGTGATGAGTTCACTGAAGTGGTTTTGGCCCATTCTGCACTAAAAGGCAACCACAACTGTATCATGTTTTCAAGGTATGTATCATGTTTTCATCCTCATCAAAGTTCAACAGATATCCACATTAAAACAAAGTAAAAATCTCGGAAGGATCTTTACCTTAGTGCAATAAAGGTAGTTAACATACAATATGTTTCTGGACATCTAACGAGCCTATATTGAGCCTCCCTTAAATATACCCACCCACCACAAAGTATGTTGGTTTTTAATTTAATTCCTGTTGTTTTTTTATTATTTTGTTCTTAGTAAAAAACAGTTGAAAAATCCAGTATGAGTTTAAATAAACAAACATAAACTGTCTCTATTAACTAAAATATGGTAATATCTTGGTTAATAATATTTGTCAGTTTCCCTTTGCCTAATAGCAAAAGGGAGCTCTATCAGTGAGGGGTTAACCAACCTTTGGAATTGTTCATACAGACTAACAGTCTTTCCTGATAACTTCTCTAAGCATAGAGCACACAGTCAAGCTGACTGCAGCTCAGGAATTTTGGAAGCAGGAGTGGAAAGATTCAGTGTTTATATAGTACTGTTATCTTCCAAAATATACCCGCATACAGGGACTTTTTTTTTAAGCTGCACCAACTAGGACTTCAATCCAAATCCCCCTGCCCCCTCCTCTTCGACCCATCCCTACCCCCCACCGCCCACACTTTACAGCTTGTAGCTTATTTGCTGTTTTAAAACGTCAAAGAAATTGGGTGCAATAAATGAAGGAGAAATTTAAAGTTTTCAAAACATTATGCTGATGAAGATTATCAGTCATCTAGGTCATAGTCATTCT